CCATGTATCAGATCTGTGAGTCTGTGGATTGGTGAGATGCTGTTCTTGATGGGAGGCACCAGAGGTACATAAGAGTACGTGGCAATCATGGCAACATGATTGGCTTTACCTGTCCATGTTTTGCTGCTTTTTGTTCATATATTTGTCCTTCTTTAAAGTCAGCTTTATCCTCATTCAGAACTTTCCCCTGGTTACCAGTGCTTCAAAGCCTCCAAGATGTACCAATTGTTACTACATTTCTATTCTTCCATCCCAACTTAAGGGCAAAACTAACAAAAAAAAAAAAAAGCTTCTTGCTGGATTAGTTTGCCTGTTAACTGTCACTCCAATTGTTTGCCTTTTGTTTCAGCTGTATGAGGGCACCTGAGGGCTGGCTTGGACTGTCTGGGTCAGAGCTGGCTGTGAGATGGCTGCAGCAGACTGGCCCTCAATATGTGGGTGACCCAAGAGTCGCCCTCAGAAAATGTTTCATTAGCTTCTCTTACTGCTTGGGGGACCTGTGCTATGTGATGAGCTCAGGTGGACACCCTTGAACTCCATCTGTGTCTTTAGACAGCAGCTAGGCCTGCACCAGAGGATTTTTGCTCTGCAGTGAGGCTGGTACCACTTGTACATGTGGAGTTGAGCATTATCCATATTGGTCCTGGAGTAGGAACTTCTGCTACTGCAGTGTGTGAGTCAGTACTCACGCACCAATGTAATGGTCAACATTTACAAATGCCTTCTGCATCTTCTGTTTCAGGTATTGTGACTGTTTTGCAAACGGTGAATTCTGCAATAACTGCAACTGTACAAATTGTTATAACAACCTGGACCATGAGAATGATAGGCAAAAAGCAATAAAGGTGAGGGGCCTCTTCCCCTGTCCCCTGGGATCTAAGTCATTTAGCTTCTTTTTTCTGAAGCTCCGGAGTGGGAGTATAATGCTTTGATCTCCTCCCACATGTGCAAGGCTTAAGTTCTTTTATTGCACCTCTAAATTCTGCTCCCTGCATGCAATGACTGACCCTTTGGGTCTGCATTGACAGGCCTGCCTCGACAGAAACCCTGAAGCCTTCAAGCCCAAAATAGGGAAAGGAAAGGAAGGAGAATCGGATCGGAGGCACAGCAAAGGGTGTAACTGTAAGCGCTCGGGATGCCTCAAAAACTACTGCGAGTGTTACGAGGTACGAAGCATTATCTCATTTGAAAATTAGTACCTTTTTCCCTTTAGTGTAGTGACTTCTCTCATTTGCTTTGTCTCTTTGTTGTATGGCTATAATGTTTTCTCTTCTGTTTGTTTCTATTCCTATAATGTTACCTCTTCTCCTAGAAGCTTGGACATAGAAAGCCATGTATGTACATGGAAAAGTTGGTCACTACTGTTCTGTTATTTTAATTTTAAACAATTTAGCAACTTTGAACTTGGGCTTGGATTTGTTTTTTGCTGAATAGCATCATTTCCTAAAGAAATCTACTGCACCAAATCCCTAGGAGGAGTTGAAGCAGCATCCCACAGATGCTATGGGATAGAATGTCTGTGGAATTCAAAAGCAAAAGTTGTTGTTACTTCATCTGCTGTGGATGTAGAGACAGTGTAGACTGACATTTCTCAAAACTCAGCTGTGTAAATTCCACTGGAGACTGATGAAGAAAGGGATGAGCGGGAAACCACTTACTTAGACTCTATGCTCTATGATTCTATGATTTGATTCAAGTATACATTCTGGGAAGACAAGAGTTTAGAGAAAGGACTACTACTTGGGAGTCTGTTCTAGTGGCTAATTGGTAAGAGATTAAAATAGGATCTCCTTTTTGTTGTGGTTTCTCATAAGGAGAGTCAAAATTGCAACAGGTTTCTTACGTTTTGTTTGTTTCTTTCAGGCAAAAATCATGTGTTCTTCCATATGCAAATGCATTGGCTGTAAAAATTTTGAAGAAAGCCCGGAGCGAAAGACATTGATGCATTTAGCAGATGCTGCAGAGGTCAGGGTCCAGCAGCAGACTGCTGCGAAGACCAAGCTATCTTCCCAGATCTCAGACTTGCTGACAAGGCCAACACCAGCACTCAGCAGTGGTGGTGGGAAGTAAGTTAATGCTGCACCCTCTTTGAGTTGTTTCTAACACAGCTTTTTGATGTGACAGGCATGTCCCTATCATCTCTGAGCCTTGTCTGTGTAAGGCTCAGAGGTAGAGGTGGGAGCAGTCAGGTGAATGGGACATTTTGTTCCTGTAACAGTAGGGATTCTATTCTAAACCCACCGGTTCATTTGGCTGTTACTGAGGCTTATTCACTCTCTGAAGGGTCTGGGAAACAATGGGACAGGTGAAATCTCATCAGTCCTTGGACTGAAAAGTTAGTCCAGCCTCTGGAGTTAGGTGCCTTGTGTGTTTTTACAGACACTAAGTGGCTGTTTCTTTGTTTCAGGCTGCCCTTTACCTTTGTCACCAAGGAGGTGGCCGATGCAACCTGCGAATGCCTCCTGGCACAGGCAGAGCAAGCGGAGAAGACGGGCAAGTCCAAAGCTGCAGCAGAGCGCATGATCTTGGAGGAGTTTGGTCGCTGTCTGATGAGGGTTATCAGCTCTGCAGGGAAGTCCAAAGGTGACCCTTGTGCCATGAACTGCTGACTCATGCACATGAGCCACAATGAAGCGGACTGAACAGAACACTTAAGGCACAGGGACACTTTGGTTTAGCTTAAAGGATTTAATAATATTTGTTAATTTGGTGCTTGTTGTAAATTGACCCATGTAAGATTGAAACAAGAAATTCTTTTATAACAAGATGTAGAGCTTTTTAAATCTTAGCTAAATCCTCTTCTACGTAAGACAATGCCTAAAGGTCAGTTCTTCCCAATGTACAGCTTTTACCCTGGGTTTCTTAAAAATTAGATGTGTTTTCCCCTTTCCCCCAGAATAATTGTCTGAAGGGCATATATAAATTATTATAATATATATTATTTACAGTGTATGGATTCGCATCACTGTGCATACAGAAAAACACAGGTGATGTCAACAGCTAGGTCATGCTTTTGCTGACAGGCCTGTAATATGGAGTGTGTCCAAGATAATTCTGAAAGGAAATATGTAGAAATAGGCATCTAAATGGAAGGTAGTACTTGTATTTAGGACCTGACACAGCATGTCCCTTTAGTGCATGGAGCACTGTGAGATACATAGGCAATAATACAGAGGGGTTGCTTGCAGATTTAGCACTGAGAAAGTCATGGAGAATGTTTCTAGAGCAGGGCCCAAGGAGTATAGAGGTGAATGGCATTATGGGGAATTTTTGATAGGAATGGGGCAGGGTGCTCAGGTGTTTCTTAAGCTGGAACTTGAAGGCTAAGACTTGAAAGTGAGGAAAAGCAGCCACACCACAATGCTGAACTGTCTGCCCAGCGTCGTGTTACCTAAGTGTGTAGCAGATTGATGCTGATGTTTAGGTGAAGCTTGGTTTTTCAGAGGTCTGCAGCAGCCTAATCCCTCACTGGAGGTAGGGCTTTGCAGTCTGTTGTGTTTTCTAGGATCGAGCTGTAACCCTGGAAAAGTGTTTAGGCCAGAGAAACTGAAGTCATGAGAGATGTACAATCTGCATCTGAATTGACTTGCAAATGTAGGTAGGGATCATGTTCAGCCTGGCTGTGGGTATTCAGGGTGCTGCTTCTCTCCATGTTGGCAATTTATTTGGCATAAGGGCTCTTTTAGTGTTGTTGAGAATAATTGTGAGAGCTGTGATCAGAGGAAGTACTAGCACAGAATCAGGATTGCTACAAAAACAGACACAGATCCTTTTACACTAAATGGGGGGGCAATCAGCTATAACTGAGAATAGACTAAGACAGGGGATTTTTTTCAGTATTTGTTACAGGCAATCTCAGATCACATTTTTGATAGTGGAACACATTTGCCGAATTAACCTGGTAGTTTACTTACCTATCATGAATATCCATTAATCATGTTTAATCACAGGCATTTTTATTACCTGTCTCACTGCAGCCTGAACTAGCTATGTTTTTTCCAAAAGGGATTTTGTATTCCTTCTATAAGACTGTAAATACAGAGAAATGCAGCAGAGCTCTTTCTCCATGTTTCCTAGCAGGGCCACCTGGGGAGAGGTAGGGGCTAGGCACACCAGCAGCAGAGATAAGTGCCTGTGTGTGTGTCAAGGCCATAGGGTGGGAGGATGCTTCACTCCCAGCCCTGTGCGCTGAGCAGAAGGCCCTTGACCCTTCTCTGGTGTCTCCTTGAAATGCCTGGGAGGCAGCCAGCAGCAGTGGTGGGCTCACAGACCAGGTGTGACCTGCCAGTCACTGTCTGAAGGGCTCTGTCTGCTAAGGACATCTCCCTGAGCATAAATAGCAATGTTTGTGCAAATCTCTGAAAAGGGAATCCACCTCTCGTGTAAGTAAATGCCATGTTTTTTCATGATTAGGACTTGGATTTAATAAAAAATCAGTGCAGTAACTTTACCTGTAGATAGTACGGATATTCCGTTCCCTTCTAGTGACCTAATATAGTCCAGTAAGATTTGTATAAATGTAAATTAGTGTAAGTGAATAAAGTAATACCTACTTACGTTATTTTTCAAACAGATTGCAATATGCCTTTTGTTTAGACTTCAATCTGTGTTTATTTTGTATATATTCAGTGTCTTACTCTAAATTGCACCTTTTGTGATGTGTATTTATATACAGTGTGCAAAAGCACTTGTGAAATTTAGATTACAGTTGTAATTATGTATGATGGCATTGCTGGAGAATATTTTGCTTGTAAAGATTTGAAGGTGCAATCAAATGCTCTTAGTTCTTCTATTTTGTTTTGAACAAGCTTTCTCAAATATTAAGCTTGGATTCCTCTCTCCCTTCTCCCTGGTGTAGAGTGTATTAATTGGTTTATGTACTTCCTTAGCCATTTGCATCAAACTGCTGGACAAGATTAACAGTCAGGTTCATCCAGTTACGTAAAAATAATTGGGAACGGGGCAAGGGTTCATTTTATAGTTCTGTTTACATCCAAAAGTAGAAAATTAAATTTATATTTACAAGACCTATTCAAAGAATACACTTTTCTATATTGTACAAATAAAACAGTCAGATAAATCACAAAAAATAAACATTTATACTATTCTGTAAATACGATTTTTTTTGCATTCCTTTGCTTCAGCACTGACAAATATACACAGAAGGTTTGCCACTGAAATATCAAAATAAATTGTTAATACTAGGTCCACTTCTGGGACTTGGATTTTCAGTGAGACCAAATGCTACCAGTGATAAGTAAATATCCCTTGACTATTGCTGTGCAGTCATGCACAGCAGTCCATGGCACAGTTTGTAACTACTCATCTTAGAGATGGACTCAGAGGTAATACAAGTGTTCAAACATTACATGATTGCAACCAATCTGTCACTGGGATTTCAACAGCATTTTGCCAGTTTTTCCAAAAATCACATATAGAGGGCAGGGAATAGTTTCCTGCAAAGTCTCATGTAGCTAGAATGGCTCTGTAACAGTGATGGCTTCAATATGTTTTTTTGCATAGATATTTGGACTGGTGAAAAAGAAGCCCAGAGGATTTAGTTTGTTCCTCCCAGCAGTGATTATATGAATTTCCATGGTGCTGCTGCTCTCAAAGAGGAGCTTGCATGCAGAACTAAGGGAAGGAGGAGAAATCCAAACCAACCAGGGACAGTTTAGTCAAGTGACTGGTAGGCAAAATGGTACCTTTAATATTATTACTGCCCTGGGATGTAGCAGATCACCATTTTTGGACATCATGGATCTTGAAAGTGACTGTACAGCAGGTTTTGTGGGAATTAGTTGCCTTTCATCTCTATGCACGCAACTCCTGTTCTGCATGGCAAAGGGAAACCCCTTAGCAGCAGTTCCACCTTTGCTATTCCAGGCAAAGCACTGGAGGCAGCTTCCTTGTCCTGAAAATGAATTAACTGAAGAAGCCTGTCCTACTTGATGGCATCAGAGCTATGGTTCAAGTCATCAGTGGGAACATTGAAAGGAGGGTGCTATGTGCCCTGGGCTGCAGGACACAGGCCAGCCCTGGGAGATTGGGGCCATGAAATAGGAACTCAAATGCTTGTCCTGCTGCAGCACACCCATGTATTCCTGCCCCTGGAGAGTACTGGTGCTCCTAGATGCCACTGGACACAACAATCTGATCACAGACTCAGCAGTGATCCAGATGATCTAGACTTGACCAGCATCTTTAGCTGTTTGATGAGACATGTTGGAAAGCTGACATGTTCTTTTCACATCTTTATTTTCCTACTTAAGTAGAAGCTCTGAAAACTTTCTCGCTCCCAGCTTTTATAAAGCACACCTTTTTGGTGAAATCAAAGTGCCAGTGCATGTGATTCCCCTGCAACCCCATCACCTATCAGTTTCCTTCTGCCAAGAGCACTCACAGTGCTAAAGCCACCCAGCACTTCCAGGGACACTGCAGAGTCTCCTACCACTGCCCCAGGCAGCTCGAGCAACCCTTGCTCATCCTGAGCTGCCACGCAAGTTTCATGAAATACATGGCTGCTTTGCTGGATTGCTAGAAGGAACAGAGGATGGGATAAAGTTCCTTCCTTAGTTAATCTCTGGTTAGGGGTCTTGCAGTGGCCCAAAACATCACTGCTTATCAAGGCTAGTTTTGCCAGCATTGTTTCCTCACGTGTTGCCTAGATCTCAGCAAGGAACAGCCATCCTTGGAACCACTCAGTTAGACCATGTGTGGGTTTGGCTTGACTGACAGCTACCCAGTGGTGATGGAAACAAATGCTTTCCCTTCAGTCTCTTCAATTTGTGCCTTTTGCAAGGGTATTTCAAATTCAGGTGTTGGGCAGTGTTTGTTCTTATGTTTAAGTAACACCGTGTTATTTCCTTTACTAAGATTGTGTAGTGGTTGTTGATGCTCAGCTCCCGTTCAAATAAATGGTTTGTAAGGGTGGGAAAGAGGGGGCTTTCTCCCAGAAGTTCCTGGAAGACTTTCTGTTCTAGAGACAAGTGCCACAGCTTGGTATTTTTGTTGGCACCTCCTACTTTGACATATTGGTTTAGGACTTGTTCTGAAATGCTTGTTATGTGGTGCACACATGCCGAGGGCAGACTCACATCACCTAACTTTTTTATGTAGAGCACTGACCTGCATCTTAGCCTGCTCTCATCTGCTTCAAACAGAGAGGCAAGACAAGCCTCACATTGCAAGTCCAAGGCCAACTGCTCAGCCACACAGCCAGCAGTGCAGGTGAGGCTCTGTGTGTACAGCGACAGATCTGTCAGCGCGTTGCTCAGGGCAGAGCTGGGCAGAAGCAGGCCTGCACTGTAGGGGTACTCTGGGGTCAGAGTCCTCCCAGGAGCTGGGTGATACTGAGCACGAATGCTGCCCAGAGTCAGAGCTCTCCTCTGAGACAGGGATACATCCCAGGGGCTGGAATTGCCACTGCTGTGTGGTGAGACAGGTGCCAGGCTGCAGCTGGCCAGCAGCTTGTGGTAAGCAGCCTGGAACACAGCACAGGTGGGACTGCCACTGTTGCCACAGGCTTCCTGGAGGGCCCTGAGAAACTGCTCCAGCAGGTCCAGGCTAAAAGCATGTGTATGGAGGTGGTGGGATGGAGTCCCTTCTGGACACGTGTAGTTGGAGGAAAGCCACTTGAGGCTTTCAGCACTGAGCAAGAAGCTCAGAAATCCCAGTTTGCGTTTGCTCTTAATAACGTATCTCCCCACAGCATCTGTTAAGTTGAGAAAGCAGCTCTTGGCCTCATCGAAGAGGTTGCTTATTTTAGTGTAATTTCCAGGTAACAAAGACTCCTTTCCACAGGGACCTCTTCCATAAAATACATTGCACAGAGAGTTCATCAGGCGCACAAACTTGACAGTCCCGCTGCAGTTCTGAAACGAGGCCAGGCCCAGTTTCTGGAGGTGCTCCAGAGCCTCAGCAACACCCTCGCTGAACAGCAGGGTAGCAAGGTTGACCTTGAGGTGGTAACTCCCTTTACTCCCAGCCCTGCCCGACTCAGGACTGCACAGCTCCAACACCCTCTGCTCCCGCAAAGCCGCCAGCTCCACCACCTGCTGCCACCACACGGTGTCACCGAGCCACTCTACCTTCTGGAAGCACTGCAGAGCATTCCTTATCAGCAGGAGGGCATGACAAACGTCAAAGAAGTATGCGATGCTGTGAGCAGAACCGGGTGGATGCTGGAAAGTGCACTGAATCCTTTTGGGATCTATCCTGATCCCCAAAGCTCTGGCAGTCTCAGCACCGCGAGCGGAGGCACCCGATGTCACAGCCAGGGCCACGATCCCAATGTTGTTCAGCTTACTGATGGCCTGACGAAGGAGCTGAGCCAGGAAGTGGCCAGATGTGCTGTTCACCAAGAAATAGCCAAGGGGAGCTGTCCAAGGGCTCGAGATGCCGACTGCCATGAGGATTATCGCTTCTGACGCCAGTGGTGCTTCGTCAGCATCAAGGATGCCTGCTCCCAAGTCAACAAAGCCCGTCAGCCTCTTGGTCTGTGGGTCCCACTCCTGCTGCTTCTGCAGGGACACGTCCTGTACCAGCACGGCGCAATAGCGGTAGGACTGATCTCCTCTCTCCACCTTTTCCTGAAGCCGGATAAAAATGTCACTGCTGAAGCCTGCAGCAGTCTCGTTATTAGACAGCCAGCTGGAAAAAAAAACCAAAAAGCGAGGATGTGAGTAGGAGACGTGATTCTGGAAATGTTGAAGCAACAGGCAGCACTTTTTACCATTGAGGACATGGTCAGCCATGCCCAGAGCTGCAGAGCAGGCTGAGGCATGCAAGGCAAAGAAGGCAGCCCTGCAATCCTTCATGCCTAGTCCGAGTTTCTTTTCTCCCGCCCTAGTGGTGGGAAGCCAAGGAAAGTACTGACCATGCAGGGAAGTAACAAAGCGGTTTCAGGAATATTTGTTACACCTATTTCTACATGAGTACCTGGAAATACATTCTGAATGAATGAATAAATAAAAACTTGCTTTGTCAGGCTGTAAGGATGAGGGAGGGGAAGAATCTTCCGTAGGTAATCATAGGCCTTAATATGGTAGAGATGGAGAAGACAAGCAAACTGCCTCATTTCTGAAGAGTAGTCTGCCATCTGCCTCCAGCTGTGCAACTCTCGAGGCAAATCTGCTCAAGAAATCACAAAAGGTCAACTTTAGTGAAACAAATAAATGGCTGGAAACAGAGGGATGCACGACACAAATGCACTGCAGAATACAAGGCAACCGCGTGGCCTCCGGAACAACTGGGTCCTGAAGTCTGGCGCGAAGTGTAGGGCTCAGCAATGATACCACTGCGCCTCACCTCTTCCTCGGCACGGGTTAAGCAAAGACATGAAACCGGAGCGAGGGAGCGCACTCTGCCTCAGCAAGCGTCCCCGGCAGTACCTGAAAACTGCGCCTGCAGCAAACTCACGATTTCCTCAGAGAGCTGCCGCTTCTCCGCCAGCTCCCTGAGGATGCTCGGCAGGGTCCTGCGCCGGTGCGCGGGGCCGCATCTCCCGGCGCCCGGCGGCTGCGGCTGCCGCGGGGCGTGCGGCGGCG